GGGTGTCTATAAATACCGTTTCGCCTGCTCTAGGTCACTCTCTTAGCCATTTGCATTGACATAGCAACCTTGAGAGCTTAGCCAAAGCCCTCCCACTCATCTCCATCATTGATTCATCACCTTTTATGAGATTGGGTGAGAATCCAAGTGCATTGCTTGAGTGATTGCATCTAGAGGCACTTGGTGATCGTGTTTCGCTGTGGGATTTCACTTGTTACTCTTGGTGGTTGCCGCCACCTAGATAGCTTGGAGTAGCGAGGATCATCGAGTGGAGGTTGGTGATTGTCTCTGGCTTCGATCGTGGTGATTGTGAGGGGTCTTGTACCTTTCTCAGCGGAGCGTCGAAAAGTAACTCTAGTGGAGTGCTCATGTCATTGAGTTACCTCACTTGTGGGTAGGTTCTTATAGTGTCCAATTGTGTGGATGTGGTTCGTGCAACATCTCTTAGCCGCCGAACCACCAAGTGTTGGTCGACACAACGGGCACTAGCGTGCCGACAAGCATGTGAACCTCGAGAGAAAAATTAGTTGTCTCTTGCCCGTTGGTATTCTCCTGGTGATTGATTTAGTATTCATCTTGTGATTGGTTCACTCCTCTACACGGCGGTATAATTACTTTACTTACTCATTTACATACCCTCAAACTAGTTGTAGTAAGCTCTTTAGTGTAGCTAGAATTGAGAGCTTGCTTTATAGCTTAAGTTCATCTAGTGGAGCTCTTTAGTGTAGTAAGTGTGAGAGCTCTTAGTGAGTAGTGACTTAGTAAATTGTGTGTCTAGTGATCATAGTAACTAGAATTGTTAGATAGGTGGCTTGCAACCCTTGTAGAGCTAGAGCAAGTTTGCTTTTCGCTATTTGTCGTACTAATCAAATTACTCTAGTTGGTTTCTAGTTTTTTAATAAGCTACTCACCCCCTCTAGCCATATTAGGACCTTTCACGTGGGCTGCGTCGGTCGCGCCAACCGTGTCCTGCCAAGGCACGCCCTTGCCATGTCGCTGGCTGCCCCTCCCCCACCGCTTCCTCGCTCTCTCTCTCTATTCTCTCTCTCTGCTGCCGCCATCGAGCTGCGCCATTAAATTCGTCAGGGAGAGATCATCTCAAGTTGTTTCGTCGCATTGTTGGCTCCGTCGCACAGCTACCTAGCAACCTGTCCCTACCCCGCCTTGAATGGCGCCCGGTCGAGCTCCAATTTTGGAGTTTCCCCACCGCCGTGCCGTTAAGGCCGCGTTCGGCAGCGGGTATGGGTAGCTCTCCCATCGTCCCTCTCGAGCTAATTCACCTGCACCACTAGCATCGCCTTGACTCCCTCTCCACCTTGCGTGCCTTAGTCGAACCGCTACCGCCTCCCCCCTTCATCGGGCCGACACGACCCGTGGTGCTTGTGTGCGCCGTCGCGCACGGCTCGACCAGACGTGGGCTAGCCTTCCTCCCGTCATCTTCCGCCCCAACTATCACCTCGGCTTGGTACATGGTAGCCTCCTGATGCTCACGCGCTAATCAATTAGACCTATAGCTACCCCTGCCCACTAGAATAGTGGCACCGCCGTCGCAGATGGCCGCGCGCCGCTGTAGCCTTCCCTAGCCAGTCATGTCACCCTGCACCGCCTTTAAACATAGCCGCTCAGGTTAGAGATAGTGATCAACCCGTTAGGTGAGCCCGTGTAGGTCCTAGGTGGCTGACATAGGCGCTCAGTGTCGCCGCTCGCCGCGCCGCCGTGCACTGAGTCGTTGGGTGTGCGTGCGAGTGAATTTGGGAAAGGCTAGGGGGTTAATTGAGAAGTTATGAGAGAGAGGAAAATAGTGTTAGTACTTAGTTATTATTCGGGAGAAGTGCGAGGTCTATTTTGCAAAAACATCGTTGTAGCGTGGGGTTTTCCGTCATGAGCCATCTCCGCATGGGACACAACGCTGGGCCCGCCGCAGGCTCTCTCATGGCCTTGTACACGTGGTGTCAGCGTGGGCCGCGAGGGAGAATTCATTTTTCTTTTTCATAAAGAATTAGAAATAGTTTTCTAATATAATTTTTGAGCTAATCTTTGATAAATCATATAAAATCATGTAGGTGTACAAAAATCGTGAAACAAATTTTGTTAAGTTCCTAAAATTGTGCTATATCTGTTAGTGTACTTAGTTCATATATATACATGTTGATACCAGGAGCTATTAAATCATTTGAAAATATTTAATATTGTTAGGAGAATTATTGTAGGAATTTTTGTGGTAAATTGGTGATAGCTTTAGCCCTAAAAATTTATAGCAGCATCATGGTATTATTATGTGCTCACTGTAATTTTTGTAGCTTTAGAATAGACTAAACATAAGGGTAGTTAAATGCTCTTTGTTTCAAATATACATTAAATCATTAGTAGAAATAAAGATATATCCTTTATTTGTAAAGCTAGGTGTTTGTTAGTTGAACCCAACACTTTACTTGGTAAAGATGATAGTTAGCTTAGTGCCTTAGTCATTAGAGCTAGCTTAGTAGCTTGGTATGCGTATTCTTATTTTAAGAGTTGCTGTTGCATAAATGCTAAGTGTTGCATCGTCATGGCATGCATGTAGAGAATGAGTTGGTGGAGTTCATGACCACCGGAGAGCAGGAGTATGAGGAGGAGGTCCTTGTATAGGAGGAAGCCTCGGAGCCACCGACGACTGACATAGCTGACAATCCGCCTGCCCAAGGTAAGCCCCGGTGCATAACCCTTATTTTGAATAATCACTGGATATATATATGTGATGTGCATTTATGTTATAGGATTTATATTGAAACTACATGCATAGATACACCTACCTATGAATCCTACTAGTATAGGTCGAGTAGCTGCTATGCTTAGGCTATCAGTAGCGTGAGTAACCTGCCATTACTCACAATATGTGATTATTATTATTACTCTCATAATAAAATGGTGAAAGGAAATGGAGACCGGGTAGAGATATGGTACAGGTATTGATGGGTGTAATAGGTTGTGTCCCGCAGCCAATGGGGCATAGCTTGGTTACATTGTTTTCCCTGTCTGTGTCGGTTAAGGACCGTCCGTTGTTGTGGATGGTAGTCAGATCACAGACTTATTATCCTGAGCACATACTTGCTTATGAGAGTGAAAAGACTCGTTGCTATCTTATCGTGGGTTCCGCCTCTTTCTGGACCGACTGATTAGAGGCGGGGATGGTAGATGTCTAAGCACCACACTGAATCCGGGACTCAGGAGTGGGGGCTTGAAGTCCAAGTTTGGACGGGGACCTAGACCCCTTGACAGGAGAGTGGTGGGTTGGTCTTGCTTGTACCTGGGGTACAAGCGGGGCGTGTGTTTCGAGGTACCCAGCTGTGATACATTGGTTCACGAATCACCGTGTGATACGGTACGACTTGGCTATGGTTTAGCACCGTAGTAAGAACTGGAAGATGAAAAGGGATAAATGAATCTGATTGCTCAACTCTTGCTTAAAAGTAGAACATATGCTTATATAGAATGGTTAGCTAATGAACTAATCATGACTGCTAATAAAAACATATACATAAGGATTCACTACTAGTAATGCTTTTTAAAAAAGAAAACCCAGCAAACCATAAAGCTTATCATATCCTTTGGAGTCAGAAAATTATTCTCACTAGTCGGGTAAGTCTTGCGAGTACATTGTGTACTCAGGGTTTATTTACCCCTGTTGCAAGTGCAGCTTGAGGAGTGGCTGTTGTGTGGAGGATTCTTCTGATGGGCACAGACGGATCCTTGTATCTTATCGTTAGATGTTTATTTCAATTCCGCTTTTTAAATTTCGCACTATGAACTTAGTATTGTAATAATGTATTTTTGAGAACTCTTGTTGTATGAAATGGACTAAGTATTATAAACTCATTCTCATTATTGGATTGTGAAAGAAAAACGTGGATTGTTCGAGTTCTCTCTTAGGGTGTGCTTGACGAAACTGTCCGATGTAGCTTACTTTCGGAGTGCTTAGTGTCTAGCGGAAGACGAACGCATCTAAAAATATGTTATTTCGAACGGTTCTGCCACAGGTGATATCAGAGCCAATTCAGATTCTTAGTTTAAAACTAAAGGGCATCTGTCTCATTCTGAGTTGACTGAGATATTGTATTTTTGTATGTATTGTTACTTTTATAACCACTGAATCTCCATCCATCCATATCTGCTCCTTCCTTCAATTGCAAACTACTTCCCAACTGTCTCATGTCTCGTCCTCTTTCACTTAATCGCCAACCTGCCACGATGCACACCCTGGAAGTGTAGCACGTCCTGCCACATTGATGGAGCAGCGAGGTCTAGCCCTTGTTTAGTTATATTTCCCGTCGACCGCTTTAATTTCACACCCTTGCTCCAGTGTCAGGGCTTACGGTTTGGCATTTAATTTAAAGATAATACATAGACATTTACTACTCCCTTGGTTACAAATTTTGTCATTTTAACTTTTTAAGATACATAGTTGTCTTTACTGTATATGTAGACAACCGCTCTGTTCATTTGACTTATAAGCAGTACTTTTGCAGCCAACAAATCAGCCAAGAGTACTTTCAGTTATGGCTTATCAGTCAAGCGAACATAACAAACGTATCTTGATGCATATAAAAACTATATTTTTATAAAAATCAAAACAACTTATAATTTAGGATAGATGGAGTAACATCTAAGTCACGTATCACCACATGTTAGCAAGGGACTGGTTTCAATGTTTGGCATTTGAAGATAAGACAGAGACAATACTGTTTAACGGCTGATTCAAATTGATTCCCGGCAATGTTTCGCCTTTGAAAGGCCTAGAAACATTTGAGGCCTCGGACTGTGACATTACTTCGTGGTATTATTCTGCATAAAAAACAATTTTAGGTAAACAGATTATGACAAAATGGATATAGAACAGATTATGACAAAAATGTTTAAGTCTGCAGATCTTTTACAATGGTTTGAATAGCTTCCTATCGTCTCTCGTGGCCTCCGCAAAGTAGCCATTTCTGTTGAATTTTATTCATCCAAGGGCAATACGGTCATTGAACAACCCCAACCCCCACGCGAGCGGTTAGCCCCCACCGCCGCCGCGAGTCCGCGACGCGACCCCCAAGGCCCAAACGCGACGCGAGGTTGCCCTTGCCCCGCCCTGGCCCTGGCTGCCGCCGCCGCTCTGCTCTCTCGCCCTCGCCCTCGCCCTCGCCCTCGCCCTCGTACGGCGCCGCCACCGCCTCCGCCCTGCCCTCGCCCTGGCTCGTCCCTGCGGGCACCCTGCCCTCGCCGTCGCTCGTCACAGCGGGCGCCCTGCCCTCGCCATCGTCCGCCGCGGCGGCCGCGCTGCCCTCGCCCCCGCCGCTGCCGTACGGACTCTCGGGCCATGCTTTCATGCCGCGCTCGAGTTCGCCCGTCGTGATGATTACTCCCGTGGAGAGGCTCTGCATCATCTCCGAAGAGGCTGTACGCTCTGCTCCCTTTGCTTCTCTTTTTTCTTTTCCCCATTTCTTTGAGTCTGGGATTTTTTAATATACTCATCTCCCTTACTGCTAAACCTTCCACTGGTAGGACCAGTGCCGGCAATGCTTCGTGAGCTTGAATTCCTTGTTCTATTATTCTTCGAACTCTGATAGGATTACTATCTACTTCAGATTGCATATATGTCTGGTCAAGTAGAGACTGCGATAGGCAGGGGAAACAACCTTTCAACTGGACTGAAAAGAAGCAATTTGGAGAGTCATTGTTAATCTGCAGTTTTATAGTGAAATTTAATCGGTGAGGTATTAGTGCCATAATCATTTGTACTCTCCAGGATTAATAAAGAAGTAATTGAATTACTGATATGTGATCTGTCCTTGTAGTTTATCTTATCTGCCATTATCTGCTTGTCCTTTTGTTGTCAGGAAGTTCAGGAATGAAGAACCATGTATATTTACTTACGCAAGTTTTGAATTTAAGGTTTTATATGAGACCTTTTAAGCTTGGAAATTGTGAGTGATTTGGTGGGACCAATTTTGTCTTAACGATTTGGTGTCTGCAATTCATTCTGGTGGATCATGACTATAGGCCATAGACCATAGACAGGTGTCTGTAATCTGGTTTCCAGTGAGGAAACTACTTTTGGGTCGAGTAGTTTTGTGCTGAACTATGATGTTTTCTTGTAGTTGTGCTCAGGGAGGTAAATGTGTTTGGGAGCGCTTGCATTTTGGATGAGAACGGTAAGTGGACATTGTGCCAAATTACTCATGTTTGATCGATGTTGTGTTTGTATGCATATGTATCGGATGGCAATTCTAAGCTACAACTTCGTTTGGAGAAGCATGAATCTTCAGTGAATGCTGTGGTATTAAATCATATATGTTGTGCTTTCATGTTCAAAGTTTGCACCAAGTACAATACTGATAATTCTCTTCAATGATCTATGGCCATAGGCCAAACTGTTAGAAGTATCAGGAGAAAAAAATGGTTGGACTAAGGAGAAAGCTGCTGAAAGGATATGGTGGTGACGTTCAGGTTTATCTGCTAGTCTTGCGCTGTACAGCATTGTCAGTTTTGTTCTTCACTGCATAATCAGTAATTTAGCCTGACTGCACGGCACCTGATAGCTTGTTGAGATGGCCGCTGCACCGACTGCACTGCACCTGATAACTTGTTGCAGCAACTCGTGGTCTCTTTCTCTCCGGAGAAAAAAAGCAGAATAATGAACAAACGAAAGAGAGTATTGAATACTGAAGCAATAAAAAAGTACCGAATCATCATCAGAACTGTTGATTTCTGACTTTCTGTAGAACTGTAAACTAGAGAAGCTAAGGAAGCGCCATCTCGTTTTTGATAGTCGTAGAGTATTACCACTGAAATGTGGAGGGTCAGAAGCAGAGTTTGCATTGCATGGTTGTTGTGCTCGAACCTAGCTTAAGAGAAACGGAGGGATATTATGATTTGGATCTGAGTAGCATTCATATGATTTTTTGTAAGACGCCGGAATAAAGTTGATCTCCACTATGTAAAAAAATGTAATATCCACCCGCGACACCTACATACGCCAGACGAACGCTTGTTTGTAATATGAGTTCACAGGCGCATGTTCCAACACGCGTATGTAATAAGTCGCAGGCCGGGGGTCGCCGGTCCGACGGGGTCAAAAACGTGTCTGTAATAATAAGCTCAGTAGACTATATGTACTATTGAAGAATACTAATGCTACTTCCTCGGTAAGTATAGTCATTCCAACTTTTTTGGAGAGTCAAATTATCTCAAGTTTGACTAAATTTATATAATAAAATAATATTTATGAGACAAAATGAGTATTATTATATTTTTCATTAATTGTATTTTCATAGTATACCTATTTGATGTTATAAATCTTTTTAATTTTCTGTATAATTTTGATCAAACTTGAGGCGTTTTGACTCTTCAATAAAGTTAGAATGACTTATAATTTGTAATGGAGGGAGTATATCTTTATCTAGTATTGTACATGTATTTCTATTTAGTTAATGCTTGTATGAAGCTTAATCATTTGCATTATTGTACTGAAATGAATGCAAATACTGAAGAATACTTACCGTACAAAATCCTATTTATATAAAATAATGAAAATAATACCAACAACTACTAAATCAAGTTAGTTGAACTCCTCGTGGGAGTGAATATTTCAGGATTTATCGACATTTGTGCTTTCAGTGGTAGGCGAGGTTTCCGTCAATAGCGAGGCGCATGTGGTGACTCCGTCAAATCTCGTTTCGAGGATTTGCCAGCCTAGTCTTCGAAGGTGCTCATAAGCGTAGGGTGTGCGTGCATGTGTTCATAGGGTGTGAGTATGCGTGCGTTGTGAGTGTCTGCGTTGTTATGTGTAATCTAAAAAAAGTTAATTGAGAATATTGATGTCTTCTATGAATTGGCGATCCATATTCCTATTCTAAAAACATGAAAATATATAAAAAGTGAAATAAAGAAGATAACAAACTATAGTGAAAATACTAAACCAAAATACTGACATGTCAACTACTGGATTCAAGTAAGAGCAACTACAAGAGTCATATTATATGACATTGGTATCTACGTAAAGATAGTAGTAACTACTAGAGACTTATTATTACAAAAGATACTTAAAGAAAGTACTGATAATTACTGAAGAAAAATATGGACAATTACTGGATTCAAGTAATAGCAACTAAGAAAAATATTGACTACTACTTAAAGATATTGAGACTACTGGATTCAAGTAATAGCAACTACTTAAAAGGTAGATAAGTACTGACAACTACATAAAGATACTGGTAACTACTCGAGTCATAGTAATAAAAAAAGATGCAAACAAGTGAGGTATTGTTTTGCTTGATCTTTTATGTTTTTGCATAATTTTCCTGCATGAGAAAAGATCTTCGAGTACAAGTGGAACCATATCAATTTGAAAAAGAAATAAAAATATGATGTTTATTATTCATTCACTTTTGGTACAATGCTGATGGTCAAAATTGATGTTTAGTGACCATTAACAAGCTCCCCAACACTAACTCTTTGCTCTTCCACGAGTAAAGGTAAATGCAACTATGAAACAAGACTTCAACAGATATGATACTAGCCTAAAAGATATTCCAAGGCATTCCTCGTACGTCTGGATTTTCAAGTGGCTACCATATCACCTTGGGCGGTTGACAAGCGGAACGACTTTGAGACCATGTCATCACCATCCCACCATTAAACATACATGGAATTTCTGTGACTTTTGCAATTGAAAACTTAGCTTGTACTTATCCTCCATTGCTACTCTCAAGCCACTCAATGGTGTTTGTATCCTCACCAACGCATTGATGCTTTACCTTAGTTCCTACTTCTAACAGGCTTATGTGGAGCTTTAGGTAGAATAAGAATAAGGCATACTTGTATTGCATATGTTGCTAAGTCAAACAATGGATCCACATAGAAAAATGTCATGCACTTAGATCAAGATGTGCGTGTGTGCGGAAACATGGTGATCATCCATAGACTTAGAAAGGTTAGAAGCTAAAGACGTAATTTGATTGACTCTTCGCTTAAACGCGGATCGTCCGATAGAGTATTTTCCTGAATATTTTCTAGACCCAAGAGCAGCCAGCTCTCTATGCAGGGGCGAAGCTAAGTTATTGATAGGGGGTGCAAATGCACCCCCCCAAAATTTGTAAAAACAGTGGTTTTGTCTAGATTTTCGTCATATATGCACCCCAATAGCAAAAGTTTATGTACCCACAAGGCAAGTGCACCACCCTCTAGTTTACTCTAGCTTCGCCAGTGTCTCTACGGATCGTCCGCTGGAAACGATAGAACATTCCGTGAAGACGGCTACACACTTAGAAATCTTGAGGGCTATAGACATGTCACCATGGAGCTTCTGTCAATCACGCTGGAACATTCTGTCAAGACAGCTACAGACCTAAAACACCTAGAAGCTACAGACTTAGAGCTCACAGATCATCCTCCACTCACAAAGGATTGTCCGCGACCACAACCCAGACTTTGTCAATTAAAACCTAAGTCCCTGATCTCATGGATCGTCCATGAAATCATCATAGCATCTGCAAATAATTAAATATTCACAGACCAAACTATTTAGCTTTGGATTTGGCCAATCCAAATTCACAGATCATCCGAGGAAAGGACAGATAATCCGTGAATTAAGGCCAACACTTAGAAACTTTTGCAAATGTATTGTCAGATCGTCACCAAGGACCGTTCGATGAATTGAATTGACGGAGCATCCGTCAATACTGTCGACAGAACACTAGTATTATACTATACACACATGTCATACATACTTAAGCCCTAACCAAATAATATCATCAGTGCATATCATATCATGTTATCTACTCTTGTGCATTGTACTCATCAAGCATCATATATTCATTAGGTGACGAGGGCTCCAAAGGAGTTCATTTGGAGGAGACCAAAGAGGTAGAAGTCATCGACGAACCCCGGGTTGATCAATCTCAAGGCAGGCCCTACGCATCCCTCTCTTTTGCTAAATGCACAATTGACTATGGTTATGTATTGCACTGCTATGTTACTATATGACTAGACTACCTATGATTCCTATATTGAGCTTTCATACCTTGAATGATACCGCACCACTCAAATGTTGGCTGTTTACTTTCATTATTTGAATAACTCATGCTTAGTTTGCTTATATGGTAGAAGTCGAGATGAGGATGGATTCCTCATCGCTCGCGCGTTATACATCATGCTTGTCCACTAAAGCAACATAAATGGGCTATGATCTAAAACTTGACTGAAGGATGATAATGAACATGAATGGTCGATGAGGAGTCAGACCATGGTGTCAGAAGATTTAGCTCCGACAATACCTATCAGTGTATTCATGTATAGAGAATTAGATGGGTAGCACACAAGACACAGGGATTATACTGGTTCAGGCACATGGTGCCCTACGTCTAGTTTGAGGTACCTATGTCTG